GTAAGACAACAACAACAAATGTATCGATCGATCGATTATTGATTAGACTAATTGTTTTTCTGTTTGTTTGTTTGTTTTCCGATAAAAAAAAGCTTATTATATAATATTCCTTTCGTTTGATAATCCAAAAACTCCCGATGGAGTCGACGATTCTGGAACAAATCCAATGCAAAGCCCAGTTGAATCCATAATGGCAATGTTTTTAATGTCTCTGACAAATTTTGGAGAATATTACGGTGCATTCGAAAAGACTGAACACGAATTTGTTGCAAAGTTAATGTTTGTCGTTTACATGGCTATCGTTGCTATATTACTCGTTAACATGTTGATCGCCATGATGGGTAATACGTATCAAAAAATAGCAGAAACGAGAAACGAATGGCAAAGACAAGTACGTTGTTTAACGTTGATGAATGTCACAATAAGATAAAAACAAAAAAGGTTGTGTAATTTTTGTTTGTTTGTTTTGTTATTAACAGTGGGCAAGAATTGTTTTGGTTGTTGAAAGAGGTGTGAGTCCTCAAGAAAGGTTAAAAAAATTAATGCTTTATTCTCAGCCTATGTCTGACGGAAGAAGAGCATTAGTTTTACGATTGCATCAAACGGTAACTTTATTCTTTCCTTTCATTTAATTTATTTTTAAAAATTTTTAGGCGCGTTTAAAAATTTGTTTTTTGAGTTTATTTTTATATTGATTTAAATTTTTTTTTAGCCAGAAGACAAAGAAGAAATGAAAGAAATATTAGATATGAAAAGAATACACAATAGAACGGTTCAAAGGCGAAAAGCTAAAGAAAATAAAAATGTCACGTTTGCTGGTACCCCTAAAAATGGCATTAAAAATCGTTTGCTCGGTCCCGTTCCCCCATTAAAAAGCATACCGTCAAAACCTAAAATTTAATGATAAATAAATGAATAACGTCTTCCAAATTTTTTTGCTTTTTTTTTTTTTGAATTACAAATAAATTAATTATATTAAATAACAAACGACAAACAAAGTGTTCAAAGTTATTATTAAAAAACAAATTTTTTGCTCAATAAATAAATAATAATAATAATAATAATAATAATAATAATAATAATAATAATAATAATAATAATAATAACAATAAATAAATAAATAATAATTATTGATTTTTGTTTTACGGATTTTTTTTTATTTATTCATGACCTGAAAAATATTTTTAAATAAATCTTTTATTACGTCACTTCTGGTGTTACCTTTCCGAGACGCGGGGGGAGGGGTGATTTTATAAAACAAATTTTAATAAAATTTATCATTATTATTTTTTTTTTTGCCCCCCCCCTCTTCCAAATACGAACGAAAATAAAGTTTTAAAATTAAGAAAATAAATAAACGACATATTTTTGAAGAAAATAAATTTTTTTTTCTTTTTTGGGGGAGGGAGAGGGAGGAGGGCGAGATTTGAAAAATTTGAACTCGTTCGATTCATTCAAAAAAAAAAAAAAATTTATTTATAAAAGTTTTGTAATAATATCGAAATGTTTGCTGAGATTAAAAAAAAAAAAAAGTTTATTTAGGTCGACGTCAAAAAGTAAAATTTTATTATTTATATTATTATTATTATTTTCACTCATATTTACGACAATTCGTTTTTATGTTTGTCGGAACTTTTTCAACATTTATTCCAGGCAAGAATAAATGCCTGAATATCAGTGATGCTTCATGCCTGATAGATCGGTTCCGTCTTGTTATAATCTATGAAATCACAATAATTCATGTAAGTCTCACTGAAACCATATTATTTGATGGAAACGAGTTATTTCCTGTACTGGGCTCCAGTGACTGTAGAGTGTCCAGGAACAGGAAAAGTGAGATTCACAACCTTGTCGAGCTGACTCAGGTCGACAGTAGAACAAGTTTTTTATCTTTAGTTCAATCTTTATCTTGTTCTCATTTTGCTCTATTACACTTATGAATCAGTCATCATATAACATTTTCCTTAGAACTATTTTAATACTTAATTTTCCTACTATTTTCCTCCTTTCATAATTTTTTCTCATGCATTTTATCCTTATTTTATGCACAATCTACAAATTACAATTTTGTACCTATAAACTTAAATAATCTGAAGGCAGTTCAGAGTTTTTCTAATCTTAATTAAAATTTTACACTAAAAATATGAAAAAATTTGTTTAAATGTATCAGAAAAACATAAGATTCAAGGAGGTATAAAATAAAATAATATTTTAACAAAATTCCCGCTTAGAATAAAATGCAACAGTGGATTCCCGCTTAAAATATATGTAAATATTAGATTTCTGCTTAAGTAAAATGTAAACATTTAAATTCCCCCTTAAAATAAAATGTAAACAGTGGATTCCGCTTAAATCAGGTGTACGGAGATAATATAATTTTATATTCTTTTGATACCTTAAATTAATTAAATACGAGAATTTTTAATACTTTTAAACGCAAAATATGTTAAAATGTATCAGGCAAACATAAGAAAATGGAGGTGTACAAAGATTTATATCCCCCTGATATAAAAAATTTTTACGTTTTTTCGAGTTCCATTTTTTAAAAAAAAGAAGCTTATTATTATTACTATTACTACACTGCCGCATTTGATGAAGATTAAAATACACCGAATGTTTTTTTTTTTTTTTTTTTTTTGCAAAATTTTTCATTCCAGGTAAAAATATCGAAAAGATTTTTAATTTTTGTTTTTTTTTTTATACTATTATTATTATCATCATCATCATTATTAATATTATTGGAAGATTTCTTATTTCGATCGAAAATTTTTTCTTTTTCTTCTTTTTTTTTTTTCATTTATTCCGCGAAAATTAATTTAAAATTAATTAATTAACATTTACGTAGGAGGTTAAAAATATAATTATTACCTATTATAGAATTAATAATAATAATAATAACAACAACGTAATTTAAGTTCATTATTTTAGACGTTTTTTAACAAATTAATTTTTTTAAATGAAAAAAAATAAAATATAATATTAGAGAGAAAGAGACAGAGCAAAAGCGTGCGAGAAAGCAAGAGAGAGACAGATAGCAAGAGATGAAGAAAGAAAGCGAGAGAGAGAGGTTGAAAATTATAATCATATTAATCACATTTACACGCCGCCATTAACAAGTTAGTGTAAGTAAACAAAAATTGTTTTAGACTAAACTTGTGAAAAAAAAAAAAAATTAAATAATACCTATTTAATACTAATACTACTACTACTATTACTATTAATAATAATAATAATAATAATAATAATAATAAGAGTAAATTTTTTAAAAATTCGAAATCATCAAAGATCAAAGTATCAAGAACAGATAAAAAAAGAAAAAAATTTCGAAAAAAACAAATAAATAAATAAAACGTTTTTTTTTTTTTCAACGTGCGACATTTTTCCCTGTCGTCGTAATAATTAACTAATTATTTGACGCCATAAGACACAATGTATAACAAAAGTAGATTTTTTTTTTTGTTTTTAAAAAAAATAAAATAAAATTCGGTAAAATATTAGCGGATTTAAATAAATTATATACCTATGTATATATATATCAACATTTTCCATTTTCTAAAATTACACAGATATTAATAAAATTTACGTATTAATGAAAATATAAAATTAAAATCACATGGGAAAATGAAAAAACATTCGTGTGAAAGGTAAAGTAAAATTTCACAGTTCATTATTTAAATAATAATAATAATAATAATTTTCTCTCCATATGTGTCTCTCACATTTAATCAAAATCAAACTTGCGACATGTTGTCATTACTAAAAAAAAAAAAAAGGTATTTTGTTTTAAATAATAATAATAATAATAATAATAATAATAATAATAATAATAACGAAATGAAAATAAGTAAATTTAAAAAAATAAACGTAAATCTTTTTGAATGTTCGATGATAATCTTTTATCTCTTCATTGTTTTTTTTTTTTGATAAGGAAAACAAAACCCCAACGATTTTAAATATTTAACGCGAAATACTCGAGAGGAGGAAAACATACCTGATCCTTCAAGGTACATAAGAAAATAATAAAATTATTTCCATGATGCATTTCAACGTCGTTTGTATTAATAAATATTTAAATTAATTTTTTTTTTTTTTTATCTCAGAATATTCTAGATTTTTGCTTTAATCGATTTGAAAAGTAGGAAAAAAAAAGTAATAAACGAATTTTTTATTTTTTTTGTCTCCCAAAGGGGAGGGGGAGAGGGTGGTAATCAAGAGTTATATAAAAAGTAATTTAAATTATTAAAACAAGTAATATTATTATTATTGTTATTTTTTTTTAAAATCCCCATTCGTCTAAAAAAAAAAAAAACATGCAGCGAAAATTTGTTTAATTTTTATCGAAGTAATATTATTATTATTATTATTTTTTGTGGTAGTAATAATAATAATAATAATTTAATTAATTAATTTTTATCCAATTTTTTTATCTAGTTAAAAAAACAAACCATACGATATTAATTTTGATATGTTTTCCTTTTTTTTTTTTTTGATTAAAATTTTTCCAGTGATGATGATGATGATGATGATGATGATGATGATGATGATGATGACGATGATATTATTAGGTTAAAAGCATTAATTATGACATCGTTAAATTACGGTGTGATAAAAGAAGAAAGAAAAAAGAAAGAAAGAAAATTTTTTTTCCCCGGTAATAATAATAATTTTCGAATTTTTATTATTATTATTTTTATTAAAATATTTAAATAACAAATTTAATTTGCTTTTGTTTTATTTTAACTTTTTTAATAAAAATAAATTTATGTATAAAAAAAAAAAGCAGAAGACAAAGATGCACATTTTCACTTGGGAAAAGTTAAATAATAAATTTTTTTTTACAAAGGTTTAGCCGAACACGATTCAATAATTTCCGTTGTTGTTGTTGATACGTTATTCATAGGAAAAACTATTGTTGCACTTTCCCTAGAAGAACCTTCATCTCCACCCCCACTCCCACTCCCACCGCCATTACCATTACGTATAGCCAAATTAATTTTTATTTGACCTCTTGATACGTCCATTTGATTATTAGTTGTAGTTCTTTCATTATTTTCTTGCAATCTTTGTTTAAATCTTTTAAATGGTAAAAGTTGATAAAATTCGTGACGTATGTTTATGTTCATCCAACCGTAAACGATCGGATTCGATATGGCTGACGACATGGCGATGACGTGAACAATGGCTAAACCTATGTAAAGCCTTTCCGATGATGCTCTTAGACTCGTAGTGTCTGCAATACCAAAATAACCATCGAGATCTGCAAGAAGTGAAAAACAACCCAAAGGTACCCAACTCACGACGAATATGATAACAATACCTGAAACAAACAAAAAACAAACAATTTATTTTAACACAAATTAAATTTTATTGTTATTGTTGTTATCGTCTTCGTCTGC